GTGGGTTTTTTTCTTACATAAATGGTATACTTAAATGTCATTCCAGAACGTCATTGTTCTACTCACTGAGAACCTTCCAGATCTGTATAGAGTTCCACAATTTCCTTTTAAGTGCTGTTTAACATCCCACAGTATGAACGTGCTTTTTTCTGATTAGGGATGTGGAAGTGTATTTTGTTTTGTAGGGTAAATGCTAAGGAATGAATCTATTAATTAAATCTGTACATTTTAAGTTATTACAGGGCTGGGTTTCTTTAGCTCAGCGGCAGAGCTCATGCTTAGCATGGAAATAAACCCCTAGGTTCAATCCTCAGTACCACACAAAAGTACACATGTGTATCATAGAACCTTCTGGTCTTGTGCTGGTGTGCACATCCACTGGCAATCTGTGAGAAGGCCCTCTCTGGCTTTGCTCACAGCCCTTCCACCCCCAGGCCGGGACCTGAAGTCATGAGACAGAGGTCCCTGCCTTGGGACTTGGGCTTTGGATACCTTGTGTTGCTCAGGGGGTACTCATTTCCAGGAGCCTCCGGTAGATGTCACCAGGAAGGCCCCTGTGCTAGTGTGAGAAAGAGAAGCCATTTAATAAAACGGTGCACTGGAGGCGTTATTTTCAAAGGTCCTTTTTAGAAAGGTACTTTAATGGTCCTGACCTCAAAAGGCAGAGAACAAGCCTACCGTTTTCTTTTCCGCCCCTATTCTGCGACCACCTAGTACTTCTCCAAGACAACCAATATCTTCTCTTTGTTGTGTATTCCTCTTGAAATACTCTGTGCATGTGTATGCAAAGTGTACGTGTACAGGTCCCACCTTTTATCCCACTGGACACAAATTCTGACATGGTGTGAATGCAGTGCAATGGTTAAAAAGTCATAAAGCCAAGTTTTCTTGGTTTGGATCTCAGCTGTGTCACATTATCTGCATATCCTCTAAGCAAATTTCTTCATTTCTCTCAATTTCTCCATCTGCAAAATGGAGATTACTGTTCAAGAATCACTAAAATGACTAAATGATAGCATTTATAAAGCCCTGAAAACTATCTTTAGAACATAATAAGCATGAATTCATATATTAAAGAGGAAAAAAAAGAGATCTGTCCAGCTGCACTTTATTTTTTAACAACATATTCTTAAAATTTAATCATCCCCTTTCCAAAGTCTGTGATGCCCCATGTAGATAAGACACAGAGTGTTTACCAGGCCCCTAATGACAGTCATCATCTGTTCTTCTGCTATTAAAACCACTCACTGATGAACAGCCCTGTGTGCGGCCATCCTGCTTACGTGTGAATGGCTGTGGGATGAACTGAAGTTGGGATCAAGTCCTAACGCTGGCAGCTGCCGCTGCATTGCCCTCCTGAAACTTACACCTTCACCAGCAGTGTAAGGGCGGGCCTGTGCTCAAGCCCCAGGGACATGCTGCTAGGGAGCTTTTGATCTTTGCCCAAGAGATAAGAATGGGGTCTGGATGTGGTTTAATTTGCACATCTCTTCAGGAGTGAGGGTGGGATCTTTTCATGTGCTTCCAAGCTCTTCCTGTGTCCTGCTCTGTGAGCTTTCTCCATTTTGGGGGGATGCCTTATAATTTACTGAATGCAATTTATTACTTGCTGATTGCTGTGCTTTTGATCTATTAAGAAAATTCACTTACTGTGATGTGAGTTATTTTCCTCAGTATTTCACTTGTCTTTTACTTTCCTTTATGGGAATGTACTGTCCTGTATGAATGAATATATATAATTGTATATATACTATATAAATATATATACAATACATTATATATTTACATATGTATATAATTTGTACATGAATTTGTCAATCTTTTCTATATTGGCTGCTCAGGGTGTATCACAGAATAACCTAGAACCTTCATTACTCTTATATATGATAAAAGAAATTGCTCAGGATTCTGGGGTAATTTTTAGTACTTCTATGGTTTTCTTCACCTTTTCAACATTTAAATCCTGTACGCACTATGGAGTTTATCCTAATACACATGGGAGCAGTGGAGCTGATCAAGGTCTGAAGGCTCATCCTACCCTTCCGACCAAGCAACTTTTCTTCCCCCTTCCAAGGGGTGCCTTCCCCTACCTCCACCTCCCTCGGATTTCATGTGCAGTGGTCTTCTGCACCTGTGCCACCACCACAGGCTACTGTGACTTCCTCATGCTTGTGTCCTTTCCCAGTACTACGCCCTCCAGGGCAATCCTTACTACTCCTGGACGACCACCCCACTTGTCCTGACTGCTTCCTCCTCCCCAGCTGCCTGCTGAAGATGGACCATGAATGCTCTTCTTTATCTGAGGTCCTTGAAGAGGGAGCTTGTTTCCTCTTCTTTGAAGATTACAAATAATCAGCCCTTCTCCCACAGCCTTTCTACCCAGCCCTGTCCCTGTCTCTCAGAGGAGACCTCATCTCCAGTCCACTGCAGTCAGAGGGTGGGGGAAATGCCTTCACTTTCTCAAAGCCCTTCTTAATCTTGGCTCTCCCTATTCCTTAGTGCAAGCACCTCTTACCTTCTTAAACCATTTAAAGAAAGTTTATTTGAAGTGGCAGGTGTCATTAATGCTTTAAAATTAGAACTACAGAGAACAGTGGCCAGGGTCCCTGGCATGCCCCCAGGGCGCACTGAGACTAACTGAAACTGGGCATGGTGGAACATGCCTGTAATCCCAGCACTTGAGAGGCTGAAAACAGGAGAATCACTATGAGTCCAATCTACATAGTGAGACCCTGTAGATCCTGTCCTAAATACAGAAAAATAAAAATAAAATTAGAACGAAAAAGATAGTAAAATGTAATTTCCAAAAGGGTCACTGGGTATAAAAAAAAGATATATATTTTTATATAAATAGATATATTACTATTTATAGTATATATGATATCTATATCACTATATAGCTCTGAAATATTATATAGTGACATATATATATACACACACACACCACTAGACATATATACACACCACTAGACATAAATACACGACAGTTAAGAGAGAGATACTGCAAATTGCTATTAACTCATCAGAAGGAAAGGTATATGCCTACTGCCTGTTTGGTTTCTCATGCCTGTATCTTATGAGTAATTACTTTGAAGATAACAGTGCACAATGTGCTGAACATTGTTATTGTCTTGTTTTGCAATTTTATATCGTTATTTTTCTTTTAAAAGAAGTTGTAGTGATTGCCTGAGCCACATTCCTTAGAAGCCAGACAGCAGCACCCCCACGCACATCCTCTGTACACGGACTGTACATCACCAGAGCGGCACCCTTCCTGGATTTTCTAACAGTGCTAGAAAAATCAGTCCTTTCAAACATGCAGTTTTAGAGAAAACAGTGACGTAAATTGCATGTTTTAAGGCAAATCTGTCCCTTCTCACTTGGAGTTTTTGGCCTTCTGATTCTTCACTGTTTACAGCCAAGGTAGCAGTTCTCATGGAGGAGGCAGTCTGAGCTGAACCCACACCTGCCCAACACCTGCAAGGAACTAGGGGTAAGGGGTCTAGGCTGCTGGTGAGATCAGTGTTTTACATCCCTGAGTTGCACAGAACAGCAAACTGCCTGAGACTGTTCATTTTGAAATCCACCAGTATTAATCATTTGTCAATATAAGATAACACACACCACAAATGATCTTCAGAGTAGAACCACCCTATACCCACTACCATTTTCAGTGTTATTTGCTGTCCCTTGCTACACAGTACTATAGATGAAAGCCAAAATGCTAAGTGCAAATCCTAACTGCTATTCTTTTTCCATGTGTGATGTTGCAAGTTTTAAAATCCTTGGTTACTGGCCCTTGGGATCTTGAAAGAGATGTACACAGTAAGGCTGACCAGGAGACCTCATGTGTTGGGCTGCTCTTGGTACGCAGTAGTCAGCTTTCCATCGCTGTAACAAAATACTTGAGATAATCAATTTAGAAAAAGAAAAGGTTTATTTTGGGAGACAGTTCAGAAGGCTTCAGTCCCTGGTCATAGCCTGTGGCAAGACCGTACATCATGCTGGAGCATATGTGGCAGAACAAAAAAAGAGCAGGAGGCTGAGGTCCCACTGTCCCCTTCAAGGATCTGCTCCCCAGTGATCTAAGACTTCCCACGAGGCGCCGCTTCTCAAAGGTTCCACCATGTACCAGTAGTGCCTTGAAGGGGGCAGGAGCCATAATATATGGCCCTGTGGCACACATGCCAGGTGCAGGCTGTGGCACCGCAGTACATGGATTAGTACGCTACAAGCATCCGTAGAGAGTCCAGCACCCAAGAAAGTCTTTAAATAATTTAGCTATTAATTGACTTGACAAACTGTCAATTTTAGGAAGTCAGTTGATGATGGAGGACACCTTAATTTGGTGACAATATGGCAGTTTAGACAGGATACAAAGGGTCTCCGGCCGTCTTCAGAGATTTTGGTGCCCAGACAGTGCAATGTATTAGTGAAAACCAGCTCTTCGCTGCTAACTTGGCCTCGGGCCCTTCGACCCAAGGGCAGAGCTGCTTTCCTGAAAAGGAGGCTGTCCTGGGCACACTGCCAGCCAGGCCACGTCTTCATTAACTCCACTGGGAAAGGTCAGACCCCCTGTAGTAAGGATTTATTTCCTTTGGGGAATTACTCTTTAGTCAAGGAATTCCCGAATTTAATAAGGAAGAGCCATCTCTCTGTGGTCACTTCTAAGAGATACACTCTAGATAAACCACATGCCGTCTTCCTAGGATGACATAGTTCAAAGTGGGAAAAACAACCCACAACAACATAAAAGCCTGTACTACAAACTGCAAACATTGGCATGTATGGTTTTTTTTTCCATAAAAAATGTTATCAAAAACAGTGCCGTGATTACTGCCTCTCTAGCCACAGCTCTGACCTTGGGGAGCTCAGGGAGCAACCTGAAGCCCCTCCCGAGCCCAGCAAGCCCCTGGGCTGTGGAAGGCATTTGCTCTCACAGGGACAGAGGGCCTCCGGCCGGTGCGCACTAACCCAGCTCCTTTGGGTCTGTGTTGCAGGGATCATGTATCGCAAGTCCTGTGCGTCTTCGGCCGCCTGTCTCATCGCCTCTGCCGGGTACCAGTCCTTCTGCTCCCCGGGGAAACTGAACTCAGTGTGCATCAGCTGCTGCAACACACCTCTGTGCAACGGGCCCAGGCCCAAGAAAAGGGGCAGCTTCGCCTCGGCCCTCAGGCCCACGCGCCCCACCACCGCCCTGCTCCTCCAATTAGCCCTCCTCTTGGCACACTGCTGAAGCTCAAGCAGCTACCAGCCCTCCTGCCTTGTTCTTCAGGCCCCTGAGCCCCACCCCCTTGAGTTTATTCTGAGTGTCCTTCATTCTGGGTAGAGAAGAAGCTGTTCTATTTTTGTTCCTTTGCAAATAGTGCAAGAGCTCCCTGCAAGTAAAACAACCAGTCCACCTGAACAGTGTACACTTGAAGGAAGAGGCTGGCTCGCAGGTCAGCACCCCTGCCCGTAGAAGCCAGGGTCCAGGGCAGGTTGGCAACATCAGCCCTTAGCAGCCACCAAGGTGAGCGCCTGCCTGCTGAGAAGCCTCTGGCTTCCCCATGTCCCTGAGGGGGGCGCAGCTCATGTGAGGGTGACGCTGCTTGGCAGGGAGGGCCACGTCCCATTCTCTTGACCTTCAGACCTCGTGCTCCTGGAAACCATTCTCTGCGGCAGAGCTGACTGGCTTCATCTCCAAGTTGGGCTGTGCTGCCTCCTCACTCAGAGACTGAGGCTTCGATTCAGGCATGGGCTGGCTCTGAAATGTGCTCAAGAAAACCTTATTAGGTCTCCTTGCAGAGGAATTGCGCTGGGAAGCGAAGAGGAGGAGCGGGCTGCGGGTGGCGCGTGCGCTGCTGGCGCAGGAGCTATCCTGGGCGCGCAGGCGTCTCTCCTGGTTGGCGTGGAGCAGCGTCAGGCGGCAGCGCAGCACCTGCCGGAACACCCTGCGGAACTGCTGCGAGGACACGTTGTACAGGAGCGGGTTCACCACCGAGCTGAGGTAGAAGAAGGTGTCCGAGAAGGGGAGCAGGATCATGTAGGCCCGAAAGTAGGACTTGGTCCAGTCGTGCTTGGGCTGGGCGGCAGCCATGATCCTGCGGATCTGGTTTGGCATCCAGCACACAGCTAACGTCACAACAATCAGCCCTGAGCAGGCAAGGGAGGGGGGAAGAGAAGAAGCAGCATGAGAACAAAAATAAACAAAAAAAATCATAAAATATTTAGCCCCTCGGTTCTGTGCTTACTGGCCAGGAAATGGTACCAATTTATCAATGTTGTGCTTGACAGCTTCTTTTGCCACCAGCAAGAGAGAATTTAACGCTGTTTCAAGCTCAGGGGAGTTGGCTCTGTTAAAGACCATTAAATGCTTTAGACAGTGTATTTATACCTGTTGATGCCTGTTAATTTAAAAAATGTTTTCATTGTTGCTCGTGTATCCAGAAAATATTTTATGCTGTCCATAACTCTGGTTTTGTCTTTTTGTTTTAAAGAAATAGATGTATTCATATGGTACAGCCATACAAGATGAAGCAGTATTTGTATTTTAAAGAATGTCTGCATAAAGAAAACCCTTTGATATTTTTAAGTCAGATGAAAGTAGTTTCCCCTTTGGTAATGAAGAAACATTTAACAACACTGACTTTGCATTTGGTCTCAGAAGAAAATCAAGGTCAAGAATGCTTTTTGGATGTACATGTGTGGGGCATGCACATCTCCAACCATGACGCTGGTAGCCACCACAGCGCCTCTGCTTCAGTCCGGTCACTCTTAGCTTCATCATCACTTCCATCTTTGTGTGGGAAAAATTTATCCAGAGCAACAACAGAATCCTGAGTTTAGCTAGGAACACTAACCGCATTGCGTTTGTGGCGCTAAACTGCAGCGTCTGCAGTCTGGAAACCATCAGGCCCTGGACGGGAGAGGTGCGCAGTGCACCCTGTGTGGGCCAGGTCTGAGCTGACCGCATGCGTGTGTGCGTTTGTACCCCCACACTGCTTGCATTCTGACATGCTCATCCCTGTTCCTGCTGTTCTGGCAGAAAAAGATGTTCTGTAGCCCATGAACAACTGAAGTCATAGTTATCCTAAGAGTTGATCTACACTGAGAAAGCAAGGAAGATCAGCCCATCTCCCGGGCATCTGCCCTTTTTTCTTGGAAGCCAAGAACCCAGAATCTAAGTTCTCACATAGAGAGCTGATAGCTTAAAATTGTATTTTTGTGTTCAGGAATGCTTCCTCCCGCTCCAAAATTTGAGTCACAAGGAAAATTCATTCATATTTTCAAACCCTCTGATTTTCTAGGAAACCACAGAGCAGTAATAGTTGGCAGAGATTGATTCTTGCCTATGATTGATGGCAAATATTTCAGTAATAAATGCTTTGAGAAAAAGCCATGTTCATGCACCCAGGGTTGGCTTCCTGCTCTCACCCACCTGAGCACCCCTCGCCTGGTGGCTGAGAGACCATGGCGTGTTCTACAGCACTGAAATAGCTCAGTGTCCCCAAGGACAAATCTCCATAATGCCCATCTGTCAGCCAGGAAAGCCTAGGAAACTCTGTTCCCTTGTTAATTTCCAAGTGTTCTTCCTGTCAAACCTCAGCCCTGGCTTTGAAATACAAGCCAATTTGCTTATTTCTTCCCTTTGAATCTGCTACCCTGAGAACAGTCAGTAAATCTAAAAATAAAATAGGCAAAGTAACATATTGATTTGATGAAAAGGCAAAAAGAAACTATCTTAAGTCAAGAGTATATTCCTAATCACCTAGTTACAGCTGCTGGAGGAAAGGGGGAAAAAAATCAACATTTTTCTGATTAAAAAAATACTTGCATGGGAACGTGGGGGCTTTTTTCACTGTTTTGAGGAACATGGATGCTTCCAGCCACCTGTGCTAGCACAAATTTGTCCTCAGGTTTCTGTTCCTTGTCTTTATCTCACACAGCTCTGAGGGAGTGGTTCATCCCGTTAGCTCTGAAGGAGCTAAGAAGCCTCCCATGCCTGAGCTAGCTCTATGTCCTCACAAAGCTCTCCATTTTTCTTCAGTCCCTGACTTTCACAGAACAAGTACAACTGTCTTCATCTAAGCAGCTGGTTCTCAGAACGTGGAAGTCGAGTGATTGATTGATTTTAGAGGTGTATGCTACATTGCAGGAGGCGGTTCTTTGGGCAGCAAACCTACAGCAGCAAAGAGAGCACCACGTACTTGCCACGGGCTGCTTTTAAAGGCAGCAAGCAAAGGCAGTGAGAAGAGGAAGGTCGTAGGGCAAAGGGAGAGGAGTTACAAAGTCATTTCTGCCCTGTGTTTCTCATTCCCCTGACCGCTTCCTTACATGACCTTTATTGGGCTGTTAGCTTCACACACACACACACACACACACACACACTTGCTGAGCCTCACTCCTCTTTGATCTTTGCATCAAGAGCAGAAGAGTTTGGTAAAGACTAAGACCCAGCATAGAGAGGAGATAGGATTGAGGTAGACTGAGACCTGTCGCTGGGGCTGTAGTTCCAGCCAGGATACATTTCTTGTTCTGAAATGGAAATGAGCTAATTAAGAGAGAGGTGGCTCATTCTGAATAAGCAGCAGCAAATGAGAACACAGCTAAGAGACTATCAACAAGGAAAAGAAAGGAAAGGTGACTTTTCTAGATGTAGCAGGATAGGTGCGAGAGCAAGTACAAGCCAGGACAAGAGACAATGGATCCAAGCAGAAGCAGACCAAGCACCTGCTTCGGCGGAGCACAGCAGCCGGGTTCCACGGCAGCATTCTATGCCAACTCTGCCTTGGGAGTGCACTGAAATGGTGATTGAGCCTGGGCATGGTGGCGCGTACCTGTAATCCCAGTGCTTGGGAGGCCAAAAACAGAAGGATCCCTACAAGTCTGATCTATGCAGTGAGACCCTGTAGACCCTGCACCAAATGCATTTTTAAAAAAGGAAGTGGGCCAGAACTTTACAGTTGTCACCTTACAACCTTACATCCAACAGGTCGTGAAATAGAACCAGGAATAAAGCTGAAGGTGGTGGGCTTTTCTCTCGGTCATTCTCTAAGCGCACTACTTCTTTCCCATGCATTTCATACCCCACAACCTGCTCAGCTCTGACTGGTGAGATAAGCACAGGATCTTCATTTAGCAAATGCAGAGTCAACACCCAGATACTAGCCGTACAAAAGCCACAACCAGGACCCATGATTGCCAGACTCCAAGACCCCTGATCATTATTTTTCTTCAAAATCAAGTATTTTCAGTTTCTCATAGTTTCAGTTTGAAACTACAGGAACACAAGAAAACAAACATTAACCACTATTCCACCATGTAAAATGGACACCAAGCAGCTCTATCTAGTGAAAATATAGAATTAGTCATATATTTAAAATTTTTGAATAATCATTGAAATAGATGAAATCAACTTTAATATTTAATTCAACATACAAGAAACACCATTTCACGTGGTTTTAACATGTAATGCATACAACAGTTATTGAGACATTGCATTTTTCATACTTAATCTACAAAACTCAGTGTGATTTTTACTTTTACAGCACATCTGAGCTGAGAGCAGTGGCCATGGCTAGTGTCCATCATACAGGACAGCTCAGAGGAACATAATCCTTCCTAGCTCTTCTAGAAAGTCTCCTCATCTGCTCTCCCTCCCACTCCCCCATCCTGTCCCTTTTCCAAACTCACACACAGTCATGTCACTCCAAGCAAGCCCTCAGAACTCATGCACATAATCCATATTTGCAATAGTATAATCTAAAACCTGATCATATTCTCATGTGTGACTTCTTGCCGAGTGTGCAGAATAGGTTATCTAGTGCTTTTGTAGAAAGCCTTCCATAGAAAGGAACTCCACATTATTTAAAGTTTAATTCTGGAAGCACACAGCTATGTTTTGTACTTAGTGCAAAATTTGCCTGGCCATTTTGTACAATAATGCACGTTGTACCAACTACCTGGCCCAGACACTGAAACAGACTTCTCCCACCTCAGCTGGAGGTGGCAGAATGGCTAATGCATTTCTTCTTGTGTTTTGAAGATAGGTTTTGTCCTAGAAAATAGGGCCTGGGGCATTCAGGTACATAACAAATGTGGCACTGTAACAGGCACTGAAACAGGCACTAAAATGGGCACTGTAACCGGGAGGTTAGCCTCACTGGGCAAGTAAACCAAACTAGCTCCCTTCTGCACTTGGTCATTTTATGATGACAGGTAATTGTTCATTTTTACACTTGAAAACGTTCATTATTTTAAGTGATACACTGTTGAGAATAAATATCATGGCCCAAGGTAACTTTCTATTCTGGCTGTTTGCAGTTGGTTCAACTCTAGTTCCAGCTGTGCTGTAGCTAAGACAAAGCTTTAAAGCCTTCTTCATGCTTTAATAGAGTGTATTAAAATTTTGACTAAATTTATGTTTTTCTGCAATCAATGTGGACTTGTGTATTACATTGGGGGAAAAAAATCTATACTGCTTTATGCTGTGTGGTGCCACGTGCAGCCCGCAGTTAAATAGCTTCACTGTGAACTTGAATGAAGATCAGTGAACTGAACTCACCCACGTAGAGCAGGTAAACTGTTTTAACTGAATTATTGCTAGGTCTGTGTTATACGCTAGGCAGCCTTACACTAAAAACACCTTTGTATGTTTTTCTACATATTTTCATTCTTCCTTCTTGATCACCAAGCTAAATGACAACCGCATTTAGATAATATCAACAGCAACAGCCATTAGATAATAACAGAGGCTCATCTTTGACAAAATAGTGTTTCAAAAACAGAAAGTAATACAGTTGCCCAACAGCATCCTACACCATCCTACACTACGGTCCAGTGTTCCAAAGGCATTCGAGGCAGCCTGCTTGGCTGAACTTTCAGGAATGGATTCGCTTCTGCCTGGGACATGGCAGCATTGATGTATCTGACTCGCCCCTCCCTGCTAGCTTTAAAGTGCAGATTATCTATTTGTGTGTTCCCCGCAGTACACCTTACAGTCAGGAGACTCAAAGAACAGGAAGAGAACTTAGGAGAGTAGCCCATATTTTAAAAATGTGGAAACAGACTCTCCCAGGATCACCCCACCTTGCTCCTCAAACACAATATCCTATCCTTGGTTGTACAGTGAGGATGTTATCTCTTGCTGCAGT